TTTTTCTTTTGGTTTGGATGATGTTTTATTGGGCTGACCATTGGACCTAACATATTGTGTTTGAGCTCTTTGTTTTCCTTTGGCTGTGCTTGTCTTGACTGGTACTCTCTCCAGTCCGCTTCCAGTCCCCTGCAGTCCATGCATACCGGTAACATCATTCCCCTTTTCCTTCCCTCTTCTCCATTGAGGGCAATGTCGATCTTAAGTGTGGGGGGGGGGGGGGGGGTTTATCTTTTGACTGCATTAGATCTGTTTGTGTGCTTGGAGCCTAGTCCACTGTCCAAATTTTTAAATTTGAGGGCTCCAAGTACGTGTTTCCTTGCAATTGCCTGCTCAGTATGCTTTGAATTGACAGTCTTTATAGTAATATGCAACCTAGGGAGGTAGTGTAGCACTATGGAGGATGTTGATGCATTTAAGAAATCTCATTTCTTCTTCATATTGTGTTGGTTGATTGAGTGAATTAGTGATCTTAGGACCCTTGAAGTGTGTAGTGTTGTGGATTCTCTACCTGTCATGGACTCTTGTATCATGTTTTGAAAGTAACAGGTGCTCGAAAATGTGCTTCAAAATAACGTCTCCCGTGCGAATAGGGCGAAAGTGTGTAAGGGGAGACGAGAATTCGTTCCCAATTTTCACCTACTACCTCCAGCCCCCTTACATGTCTTTCCCCCGCACGAGGCTCGAGACATCCGCTCCTGGCATGGCCGGTAAGAGCAGGTTGGGACCCTTTAAAAAAAAAGGAAAAAATAACAGAAAACAAGCAAAATAGAAAGAAAAGGGGTTCCAACCATCTTCAAGAAGAAAATAGAGCACCTTGAAAAATGTGAGTCCATGATCCTTTGTTTTTGAGAATCTCTTCATCCACAATTCATTTGTCCTCTGTTCACTGTTTGCCATGATGCCGACTCGATACTTGTCCTCTGTTCACTGTTTGCTATGAGATGACTTGTGCGTCGGTTGACCTCGTAAGCTGCTAAATGATCTAGGAAGTCCTCTACCTACGATCTGGGTTGTTTGTTGCTATAGAGGTCTAGAGAGTTGCATTGGTTTGAGTTAGGTTTGCTTGGGGACAAGCACACGGTTAAGTGTGGGGGAGTTTGATAACTATGTAATTGCACATATTTGCGCCCCTAGTTCTTATCCGTTTGAGGGGCATAGTCGTGTGTTTTGGCCTATTTTACGCTGGGTTGTGCTATTTTGTCATGTTTCAGGTCTCAGGTGTCAAAAGGAAGGCTAAGCGCGAGTTTCGGGGCATTCGGAAGTCATTTCGGTGAGCTGGAGCCAAAACACGGGCAGACCTAAGGCATTACACGGCCGTGTTCCTGTGGCCGTGCTTTTTATGCCGAGAGCAAATTCGGTTTGGCAAATTCAGCTGCAAACACGGGCACCATTACACGGTCGTGTTCAGGCAAAGCACGGCCGTGTCCACCGCGAAGCACGACCGTGTTTCTCCCAACTACTGGCCGTGTAATTAACCCTGGCCGAGGCACGGGCGGGCTCAGGCAAAGCACGGCCGTGTCCTCGACCGTGCTTTGGCCACTGATGCTTTTTTAAGCAGATTTTCAGCCAAAGAGAAGGGGATTCGAGTTTTTGAGAGAGAAAACAATCCCTAGAGAGAGAAAGCGACGAACAAGAGTCTCCAAGCGCCCTAGCTTGATCTTCAACGCCATTGGAGGCCAGTTTGAGCTTGGAGAAGTGCCGATCAACGTCCAGGAGCAGGAATCCATCCTTCAGTATGAATTCCGTGCCTGATTCTGCTTTTGCTTTCTTCTCCATGGAGTAGTTCTCCCATTCATCTGGGTATGGAGAACCCTAGATTTGTATGTTAGGCTTTGATTGTATGAACCCAAGTACTGATTCTATGATTTGATTATATTCGATTGAGGTTTGATTGATTGAATGACATGAATCCTGATCAAATTCCTGTTGTTTCTGCTTTAACCTAGAATGAGAATATCTGCCTAGGTTGATAGAGCATCCTTGATTGAAGGTAGGGAGTTGGTGACTTTAGTCGAGGCGCCAACTCACTATTCTGTACCGGATTTACTCCGGTAGTGGAGGTTTTGTTTGTTAAGGCCTCAATCTGTTTACTCCGGTGGAGGTTAGTCGCCCGCTAGAGACTCAGATTGAGAGGGTCTGAAGACCTTTAGTCGAGACTTCAGGCTGTTTAAGAACCTTCCGCAGTATAACTTTCATAGAAACTGAACTTGGTAATTACAATCCAGTTTAACTCCAGTCTAGGGGGAACCATATCCGGGTGACCTCTCTTAACCTGAATACAACAGTTTACTTGCTTTGTTAGTTTGATAGTTTAGACTTGCATTCCAGTTTCATTGCTAGATAACAAGAATTCACTGAGTAGTCATCAGATCTAGGACCCGGGTTGACATATAAACCTAACCCGCTATACCACGCTTTAGGAAGTGGTTTCACTTGGCCAATTCCTGGAGTGACAGTAGAGTCGAGTCAGTTGGCTTACAAGAAAATCACCGGGATTCGGTATGTTATAATTATGTATTGTTTACATGTTGATTTATTAGTAATTATATGTCTGTATTTAGTGAATTTCGGTTATTGGCAAATATGTTATGTTAGAGATATTTAGATGAATTATGGTATGGTCGATGTTAGTTAGTTATTAATTTAGATGAATTTGGATAGTTTTCTCATGATAGATCAGTTAGTTGCGGTTGTTAATGGGTTTGGATGATATTATTTTTGTATCCCTAACTAACTATACTATAGTAATCTTATTCTAGTTAAGCTAATAGTTACTTATTGTAATTTGCATACATGGGTAAATTTAAGAAGTTTCAGCTTATTATTCGGTGGAATGGTCGGGTGACAAACTCGAACTTTGGGATCGACTATGAAAATGGCGAATCCACTATGCTAAAAATTGAGTCGAGATTCACGTGGCAAGCACTACGTGACATTTGTGCATAAAGGACTTGTATGGACGGGCAAAGGAGAGTTGGTCAAATTACTTACCGGTATCCAAACATGAGTGCTGGCGGAGTTATGTACGAAGAAGTTGTCATAAATGATGATGACGCGGTGAACATGATGATACATTTCCCATCTGACAATGGGATGCGGCTTGCAGAAGTGTATGTCGAGACGAAGTCGGTCGGTGAAACTCATTTTCACCAATATTCTTGTGATGATGGTTTTGCAGGAAGGTTCGGCTGGGGTGGTAGTTCAAGCAACCTTGGAGGAGGTAGTTCTACAGGAGGCTACGACTGGGGTGGAGGTCCAAGCAACTACGGAGGAGATAATTGTGAAGGAGGTGTTGGGTGGGAAGAATACCCGCAAAATGCTGAGACTGCCCCATTCGGCGAGCCCGACGGTGATCAATGGCCTGCTTGGGGGCCAGAGTGGGCCGACATTGAGAACCACCTTTGAACAAGGCGTACTTCACATGACCGAGAAGATGAGGTTGGTTATGTTGGTAACGATGATCCTCCTGAGCCGAGCTATCCATTCGCCTCCAGCGACGAGGAAAGTGAGGAAGATTTGAGATCGGTCAGTGAGGATGAAGATACGGACGATATCGAGGAGAGCGAGGTGGCGTTCCGTGAGGCACCAACGCCTTACTACATAGAGGTTCCATCTCAATTTTTATATAGTCAGAACGATCCCCCTGATTTTCGGCCTATGCCTGTGTATAACTCGACTGCCAATTTGGAGGTGGGTATGGCGTTCACTTCGAAAGTCGATGTTCAAGATGCTTTTATCGAAGAAGCCATGCGACGCAATTTCGAATGGAAGGTAAAATATTCTGACACCAAACAACTACATGTCATTTGCAAAAATGCTGGAGAGGGTTGTTTGAAGCAACTGCGGGCTGCAAATATGAAGAGAAAGGGTGCCTAGGTCATTCGGGCAGCAGAGAACAACCACAGCTGCTCCTCAAACATACTGTCTCAGGATCACAGGCAACTGAAAGCAAAGAAAGTGGCAAGAACCATTAAGCACTTGATCGAGGCACAACTAGATATTAAAATCAAAGCTATCATGGCCGAGGTGAAGGATCGACACTGCTACACGATCAAGTATAAGAAGGCGTGGCATGGGAAGCAGAAGGCCATGGCTGAGGTATATGGTGATTGGGACGACTCGTATGCTTTACTCCCTAGATTAATGGCCGCAATGGAGGAGTCCAACCCCATGACTATTTTCGTGCCCTGTTACAACAATGTATACACTAAGGATCAAGTTCGAGTACAGAACAAGTTGATGTTTCATCGTCTGTTCTGGACCTTCAAGCCATGCATTGATGGTTTTGCTTTCTGCATGCCAGATATCCAGGTATATTACGGTCTAAACAATGTTGTTGTGTTTCTTTTTTTTTTCACTAAGTAATATTTATACTAACTATAGATAATTTTAACAGACTAAGAATATGACGAAGATTAAGAATTGGAAACACTTACCACCACTCCCCACACAACACCTTGCTTTGACACCCATCTAAGTGTGAATTTCCGATACCACACCATGTATCCATCGTGGTACCCCATTGGCTCGTCTCCGGTAAACTTTGTACAACCCAAGTCATTCTATTCTCCCGAATGTTGATGTAGAACTCATGCTTGCGGATCCAATTCTTTGATTTGTGTTGTAGGTCGATGGCATGGAGCTCTTTGAACCCTTGAGGTGGGGATGCTGGAATTGGTTGCTCCATCCGATACTGCCTCAATGCTCGATCCGGTAGGTGCCACTCCACCATGTGCCAACAGATCAAGGGCACCTTGCACAACCACGTCTCTATATCCTGGGGGTGTCTAAGACGATGAATCTCAACGACTTGAGGTGGATATGGATCCCATGTTACCTACACTCATTAATGATTTGGATTTAGTACAAATTGCAACGTAATCCATTTAAAATTTTTAAAATGATCCAATTTGACATTTTTACCTGGTTCCACCAAGGCTTATCAAACTCAGCACGATAAAACAGTAAGGAGTGCTCCGGCTGGTGGTCGTTTGTATTTGCTCCGATCCACCTTATTAAGAAAAAGTACTTATATAAGATATTTTAAAAGAATCTAAATTCACTAAAATACTAAAATTGCATACTTGGATTGTATCTAAATTCACTAAATTCTCTAAATTCACTAAAATACTAAAATTGCATACTTGGATTGTATCTAAATTCACTAAAATAACTAAATTCTCTAAATTCACTAAAATGCTAAAATTGCATACTTGGAATAAAATTAGCATGTAAATTAATCTTACTTGACACCATAGGGGGGATTTGCTAGAAAGCGTAGCTCCTCATCTGGACCCCAAAACTCCCGCCGGTCTCGGGGAGCGAACATTGGAAGATGCTCCCATGCCCAGAGTTGGAGTATGAACATCGCACCTCCAGCTTGTTTCGCTCCCAACCTCGAGCAAGTGCACAACTCTCGGTAGATCCCAGCCAATACGACCGACCTCCAACTCTTTCCCCCGATCTCGTCCCAATCACCGAGGAGCAATGGCAACCACATGCCTTGAATCCACCGGTTTTCCTTGTCGGGGAACAGAAATTCACCAACCAATCCAATGAGGTAGACGCGTGCATATCGCTCCACCTGATCTTCGGGGGTGTCTGGCCCTAAATCCACTTCCTGTTGGATGTGTTCAACAAGCCACGGGATTGAAACTTGCCCAGCATCTAGCGGTGGATGCCCAACCCCTTGAACGGGTGTTGTGGTTGGCATGTTGAACCCCAAACGCTCGAAAATCAACGACCCCCAACCACCTTCAGGTTTACTTGAGTTGCCGATGATGGCCTCTCCAGTGATCGGCATCCCGGTGAGTAGGGCAACATCTCTGAGGGTGATCGTCATTTCCCCCTCGGGAAAGTGGAAGGTATGCACTTCGGGGCGCCATCGCTCTGCCATTGCCGTAAGCAGATCGTTGTCGATATCAAGCCGCATGAAATGCCTCAGCATATGCAATCCCGTCCTCTCTAGATAGGGCTCGAGACGAGGATGCCAATTAGGCAATCGACATGTCCCTCGATGACTGATGGGAATAAGTGATTCCTACAAAACAAAAAATACAATGTTTAAAAAAAACAAAAACTTTTAACATATTGAAATCATTTAAAAATTTATACGGTACAGACAGAGTGTCTACCGGATTATTGTCCCAAATTGCACGGGAGCGATGTTGTTCTTGCTCGTTTAAATATTTGCGATCTCTTGGGCCAGGATCTATATACAAACGAGGATCTTATATCTCAGCACCCATCTATAAACAAATATGAAATGAAATTAGAATATTTCAAATCCATTTAAAAAAACATCAACAAAGGTGATTTTTTTTTCTCGTACTCTCAGAGCCTCTTTGTCCGTTTTTTGCCGAAAAGCTGGAGAGAGTATCGACGAAACTTTAGAGCAAAAGATTTAAAACAAAATAAAAACTCTAGTAATTCTTTCTGATGTGGAAGATCGGACTTAGCCGCAACCACAGAGCATACTTAGAACAAGACTAGAGGGAACTAATGGAGGGAGAAAGAAGTATGAAAGTGGTGGTGTGAGTTGGAATGGGGGGATGGGGTGGTATTTATAGGGAGGACCACAGAGCATTTACCGCTCTGGTTCACGACGATGAACGATTCCCCGCGGTTCTCGAGGGCGTTGAAAAGCGCGGATCGCTGAAGTGGCTTGATTTGAGGCGTCGGATCTGGGAGAAAAACCAGAATCCGCGCCTCACCACATCTGACGGTGACAGTGAAGCGTGCAAGTGGCGCGGATCAATGACGTGGACAGGGCGGGCTATCACCACTTTTGTTCAAAACGGTGAAGTGCCCGCGCGTGTCCACGTCAGCGATCCGCGCCACTTCACCGTTTTGCATAACAGCGGGGAATTATTCACCGTTTTTGACTAAAACGGTGAAGAGTTCACCGTTTTGAACAAAAGCGGTGATGGTTTCCCCGCTTTTATAAAAAACAGTGAACCCTTCACCGTTTTTGTTTGCGGCGGTGAACATCATCACTGTCCTGGTCTGCAGCGGTGAACCCCAAACTGCTGTATTTTGGGAAATATTTTTCATAAGTACTGTATTTTGGGAATTTTTTTTACGAACTAGTGCATTCTTGGATTTTTTTCCCTCCTAACCCCTTGGTTTTCATGTTATTAGCTCATCTCATGTTTGTTGTTGGGCATTATTTGACACCATTAACGGTTTTACTACCCAACTGAATAAGAGGTAGTGGTGCTTTGCACCCATTTTCATAAAAGAAAAAATTTGCAGCCTAAACTCAAACCTTGCCATCAACAATTATCCAACCTTTTTTATTCCTTGCCATTAGCATTTATTATAATCATTAGGAAATGGCTCCTGATAAGAGTACTTATCCCCGCTTTAAGTAAATATTATCCCCACTACTAAATCCTAAAAAGGCCCTAAATGGGCAAAACTAAGAACCTAGCTTTCCTTTTTACAAAGCTAAAGGGGGAAAACAGAAGAAATAGACTTGAGTAAAAAAAAAAAAAAAAAATTACAACTATCATACTAGGGAGTGAAAAAAATATCCAAAAGGACCCAAAACTCTTATCATATTTCCAATTTGATCCATTCGGAGCCGTCGACGAAGCTGAGCGAAAGAAAGGGCTTAGCTTCTTCGTCGGTGAGCTCTCGGGACCACGCCACCCTGCCGGCGAAACTAGCTCCGGGCCCTCTACACTTGTATTGGCCATAGAAAACAGTCCTGCAAAACACCACCGCCAAAGGAGAAAAAAGTAGAGAGAAAAAAACAGAGTCAGCAGAATCAGAATCTCACGCATGCGTGCTAATGCTAATTACTTAGTGCTGTTGGTAGTTGGTACTGTATATTGCAAATTCTGCAAGTTGCAACCCAGAGAAAGAATTAAATAGTTCCTATCTGCAGTTAGGTTAGGTTAGGTAGGCAGATGATGGGCTAAGAAAAAAGAAGCTCTGTTCTGTTCTGTTCTGTTCTGTTTTGGAGGTCGTGGGGCGGTAGTGCTCTGCTGCACTTGCACGGGTATGAATATGATGGATTGGATCCCCAAAAGAGGCATTCACAATCACAACAGCAGGCAAAGTATATAGTACAGAAACACACACACACATTCATGGTCCTGGACCGGTAGATGGCCACTTCTTTTTGAGAGAGCTAAGGGGAAAAGGGGCAACATGATTGATTGATCAGGATATGGGAAAAGGGTGTTGAAGTTGCAACACTTTCTCTCAACTGAACCTAAATTTTGGAGGAGGGGGACTAATTCTCATATTCTATCACGGTCTAATGTTTTATGAATGCATATATTATACTGTTGGATAAAGAATAAATTGAGGGGACTGCAACCCCTCCTGTACTACACGCTCCACCACTCTCTAGTTAGGTAAGAACACTACCTGTATTCCCACTAAGCTTTTGTAAGTGACGAATAGAAAGAAAGGTAGGTTATTCTTTGTATGACTGGTTTAGGTGTACAATACATTATCGTCGTAATGCGTAATAGTGCATTTGTCGTCGTTAGTATGTGTGAGGTTATTGTAGAGGGTTGACATCATTTGATTCATACGAAATAGGGAGTGCATGGTGGAATGAATGAGATAGGGAAAGAGATACAACAAGTGCATTTAATAGCAAGCACATCATCACTAAGTTGCACTCCAGTCATGATATTCCCTATGTTTGGCCTGGCTTTTAAAAGTGCTTTTCGAGTTCAAAAGCTGAAACAGGGCCAAACACCTCTAAAAGCTCGGCTTTTGAAAAGCCAAAAAGTGCTTTTGTATAACATAAAAGCAAAAGCTCCGATTTGGAGCTTCTGCGAAAAGCTGTTTTGAAAATACAAGATTATCCTTACCATATATTTTAATTTTATTTCAGAAAATATAATTTTTCATCATTTACATCATTTTAAAAATAAAATAAATTATCAAATTATATTATTTAAGAAATCTAACAAGATCCATTTTGGCTACTTTTTATTGTTTATAATTTTTATTCATATTTTATATTATAAGTCCTTTATAGTCATTTTACACAACCTCTTATATTAAAAAGTACTTCTAATAGTTTTACAGTCAAACACTCAACTGTTTTTTTTTTTAAGTACTTATCTAAAAACTTCAGTCAGAAGCTGTTTCTGCAAAAGTTACAGCAGGGCCAAACTAAGCTATTGTTGGACTACAAATTCGTAAGTATGCTTGTCTGTACATCATCCTTAGGGATGGCGGTTCAGTTTTAACCGACACCGAATATGTTTTCTAACCTTATTAGTTTCTCTTAACAGATAAAAATCGATAAGCTTATAATGATTTATTTTTTATTTATTCTGATAAAAACTAAATCCACTCATGATTTCAAATTTGAACAATTGATTAATTTGAATTTCGGTTTCTAATGGTTTTCGGTTGGATACTAACAAAGGTTTTAAGCGTTTAGAAATGAGAAAATATGAGAAGGGATGATGAAGTTGAGAGAGAGAGAGAGAGAGAGAGAGACGTACAATTCTCGAGTAGGATCTCCCCAATTATACCAGCCTTTGGGGATGATGATGTTGTCCATGTAAGTGTAGGCAAAAACGACCCTCGAGAAAGGACCCCAAGCCCTCCCCAGATAAAGGGCACCCGACCCCGTGACCTTACAGTTGACGAACGAGAACCCTGTATCCTGCAACAGGCTGCTCCTCCCCTGCGCCGTTAGCGCCCCTGTATACTGCGCTACTGCATGAACCTGACACCCCTGTTTTTCATCTCAATCACTCCTTTTTTCTTCTTCTTCCGTTTCAATCATTCGATTCTACTAATCAAAGGTGGGTTTTAATTAATTACCTCGAAGAGGGACAATCCGTTGCCGAATATGAAATCGACGGACCCTTCAATGTAGCAATCTTTGTAGTAATGCCTCCCCAATTGATCATACAGAGTGTCTTGCGCTCCCAGGAATCTGCACCCCAGGAACGCCGCCGTGTCGGCCGATATCCTGAACGCCACCGCCTGCTTCCCCGCGGCTCCCGGCGCTGGAACCGGCGTCGTATTCTGCCACCCCATCACCAAACCAAGTCCAATTGGGTTTTGAGAAAACAGAGGACAAAAACAGGGGAGTATGGTGGTGAAAGTACCTTGAAAGTGATGTTCTTGGCTATGAAGAAGGGGGAATTGACGGCAAACGTGGCGGAAGCGTAGGTGCCCATTGGGTGTCCTCTTGGGCCGGGGGTTTTGGCTGTGTCCCCCCATTGTACTATTGTCTTCTCCGCCCCAGCACCTTCTATCGTTATGAATGACTTCAACGGCGGTATGCTCACCTTCTCTCTGCAACTCCATACATAAAAACAAGATTGGTGTTAAGCTTTTTGTGAGAAAGTTAAGAACCCCATTGGGGAGATCACTATCCCACATTCCCACTCCAATTGGGGAGACCACAACACAATGTGGGACAAAATTCACCACACGGATCAACAACCTTATTCATTATTATAATACTATTTTTCTCTTCAAGGAAAAAAAAAACAGAGGAAATGGGGGGAACTAACGTGTAAACTCCTGCATGGACCTTGATCACGACCCGGACGATGTTGATGAAAGGGAGGGAATCGACGGCGTCCTGAATGGAGGTGAAGTCCCCGGCGGCCGGGTTCCGGTCGACGGTGAGGGTGAAGGAAGGGAAGAGCTTGTTCTTTGCTGCTCTGAAGACAGAGTGCTTTAAGCTTCCAACGAACCTGACCCACTTGAGGAACTGCTGTTCTGAGAATTGGGTCCTTGTGGAATTCACGGGAGGAGGAGGAACCTGTTGGTTTCCCATTGAGTTTCCCGGCCTCAGCCCCTTGGTGTGACAAAATGCCGTTAGCCCTGAATTCAGCAGCAGGAGTATGAGAAGAAACATGGAATTGGGGAAGAGTGACATTGTAGGAAACTCAATGAAGCAAGTCTATGGACCAACATGGCCTCTGTTATTGTTATGAGTGTGTGTGTATATTTATGGAGGGAGAGAGGGTACTTTTTTCTGGGAGGTTATGGGTGGAAAGTGACATTGAGCTTGAAGAGGACAAGGAAGTTAAGGAAGAAGAGAGTGAGAATGTGAGATGATGATATGAGAGAGTTCACGGGCGGTTTTTGTGCTGCCCCCACTATATCATTTGGGCCACAGAGGAGAGGAGGGCAGAGAGCAGAAAAAGAGAAGAGGGGAAGAAAAGTGGAAGAAGAAGAAGAGAGGAATAGAATAAGGCTAAGGCAGAGTGCCCTGCTTTTGTTGTTGGTGGTGAGTGTGTGTGGTTGTTTGTTGAGTTGTCTTGTTGTTTGGCTCCCGTGAGTGATGCTAGCTGCTGTTTTACTTCTTTTTTGCATGTGTTTGTTTGTGTGTTTCTTCTGTGAGGGTTGAATATATTGTTCCAATGTCGACCCCTGGCTAATATAGTATGGTCTATAGCTAGCTTGATGATGTATGTTTATGAGGTTAAGTTAATATCATGGTTTTGAAGCAAACCGAAAGAGAATACATGTAATGTATGGATAGATTGTACTGGAGATTGTTAAACGTGATTCTGTTTCCTGTTAACGCTCTAGTTATTTACGAGTGCGACATATGTCCAGCTTTGACGGACGGTAAGTTGGCAACTAGGGTAAGCACTTCTACAACTTTTCCCATCCTTTTTAATCACTAACCTAATGTAATGCTTTTCCGGATGTGAACAAGGTTCTTGTAGAGGGAATATGAGGCCTTCAACGAACAAGTCAGTCTCCTGATCATGGCCGTAACGACTTGTTGCCTGAACTTCATAAGGTGGAACGATGTTGGAGCTCTAGTGGAAATTAAAAGCCTGATTCGTTGGACCATTGGCTTGTGTCTCGGTCTAGATAAGAGAGGCTCGATACTAAATTGCTAGTCTTAGTCAAGTGGGTTTTCGATGTGGATGGCTTTGGCACCACAAGTCGCTATATGTGTCTGGTTACAATTTTTACTTTTGTTGTTTGCATTTTGGCTTTTAGCCGACGTTTTGTGTTGCTGATATGTGTGTCGTGGGTTACTGGGTTTGGGAAATTGTAAATATGGTCACGAGATGCTAGAGAATTATACTTAAAAGAGTTTGTTAGGGCGAATCTGTTAAATTCTAAGTTACGGTGACGTGAACTATAACAAGTTATTAACCTCTGTCGCCGCTCTTACCTGGGCGACCGGTATTTGAAAGGAGGTAACAAACAGGATTCCAGCATTAGAAAGGATTTTGCAGAGCATTGTACAGCATGTTGCTGAAGCGTGTCCCATAAAATATCTTATGGAGGAGGTAACAAACACGCTGTATTTCGAAGTATAATACTTCTAGTCTGAAGATACATGCAGCCTACCCTCATCCCAAACCAAGAAGTACAATAACTTACTTGCATGATTCAAAGTGGTCATCAATCCCTAAAGAACCTCGGCGGTGTATGATTCGATAACCTGGACATTATCAAGAATACCACAGCTGTTGGAGGACCAAATACCAAATCATATCACAGTTACTCCCTTGCTTCAGTTGCTGCACTATCAAAACCAGCAGCCACAATGAACAATGAGATAAAGGTTGTATGAGCTAGGCCTATGCAACAGGAGATTGATAATAGCAAGTAATGAACTAACAAGGTATGCTGGCATCTATAGGTGATCGAAGAAACCAGAAGATGGGCATCAATTGTGAAGACAGACTTCACTAGACTGAGGGAGATCAATGACAGGAAAATGATGGCTGAGCGAGCATTTCTTGACCGAGAGGGACGTCTGCAAGACCATGGTATAACCATATGGTATGCTTCTAACTTTTTATTACCATTTTCTGATCGATATTATTCTGCCTACATATTTCGACACCATTTCCCACTACACCGTCAACATAGCTTAAAGTAAAAAGTTCAGACCATGTCGGCATTCTACAAATGATTGCAAGTTCTAACGGTCCAAGTCAATGGTGGAATAACATTCTATGGGACAGATATATGCATCTGCCAAGCATAATGTGTCTGGAACAAAGTACTTCCCAGGAATTGATGATGCAATAGAGCAGGCAAAGAGTATGAATACTGAACATTCATGGAAGGCTGTGCAACATCAAGTTCGAAGAGTGGCCAAAGCCATTAATCGAGTCACTAAGGTCCTTAGTGGTGAACTGACATGAAAAAGTTCAGTAGAAGGCAGGACTTACAGGGAATTGTTTTTTGTGGGTAGAAACCATCATAATCAGCATTAAATGCCTCTGAATCAGCAGTTTTCAGCTCCACCTCAACGAATGTACTTTGTAAGCTCTCCTTTGCAAGAATGGTACAACCGTTCAACCAGTAACTTTAGAAAGACTCCTGCGTAAAATATGAATAGAATTAGCTTCAGATCCCTTCGTTAAGATGCATTAACCCTACTCTGTGAAAATCAAAATCACCAATAATACAAATTGCCAACCCAGACAATGGCTGATGAAAACATGTATTGCCTATAGATATGGATTCTTATTTTTGTTTACTGGGGTGAAACTAAAATTGAAACAATTACTTCTCGACAATGTGATAGAATAAAAACAGAAACATTGAATATTGCTAGATGCGGATAAACAAATGAGAACAAATTTTGGCCTTATAAACTTGAAACAACTTAGAAGGAATACAAAGGCACAAAATTTCCCACCAGTGGATTAGAGGAGGGAAATGCATAAGGGAACTGCATATAGTGCCTGAAGCTTGTTTAAGAAATAAACCAAGGAGCTCCATGGGAAGAAGAGAGTACCCGAAGCAGGAACTAACCACCTCAAAGAGCTACCAAAGAAAGTTTGCAGCTACATCTACTATGAACATAAATTAATCAGTCACTGATAATATGCTGTTTAGACTCAGTTCACTAGCTCTACAAATCAATGACTGAACACTGTACATTAATAAAGTCAAACATTCACAGCTTTTACAGGGAGTACTTCATGTACATAATCCTGCATTTTATCTTTTTTTGCATTCTGGTAAGTAGTAACTTTGAATCCCAATTCAGCAAATAAGCAGATTGGGTTCTCCGGTTATTAGTGGATAAACCCGAATTATTTAATCATGATCAAATCTCATTTAGTACTGCATCTACTAGGAACACCAGAGAAGCGTTTAGAGCAATAATCAACTTTTATCAAATTAAACGATAATATAGTCGAGTAAATCCACCTTATAAGCGGCTAAGGGCACCCATTATGCTTCCCCTGAAGCTATGAATAATGACACAATACGCTTTAGCATATGTTTCATGCTTGAGATTTATGGCTACGTTTATTTGACTTTGTCAACTAGGAAAAGAAGCAAGTTGCGTATAGTTCAGCAAACAGGGCATTAATTACGATATATCTGCAAGATTGTCTGCTGTGCACTTGCATGCTATCCTGCTATTCAACGATTCAGCTACTAGGCCATAAACAAGTAACGTAAAGAAGATACTGTTGAATATGGACAGTCAGGAAAATTAATGCACAGAAGAAGATAAGCAGCCAAATCTCGTTATCAATCATCTACAGTCTGGTCTTTTTTTTTTTTTTATCAGTATCCAGAAGATTATTCTCGAGTCACCCGCTTGAAGACAGAGAAGTCAATACAAAGATTAAACAGATAAGAATTTACAAATATAAGAGAGACAACCGAAACCCATTATATTATGAGTTTCACGTTATACTGTAATATGATTTTTGGATATAAAGATCGCTTAGATCTTGTTCAGATTGAGTGGACTTAAATAATTAATTAAATATTACAAGTATTTTTACTTCCGGTACAAAGTCAGACACTTGTTACCACAAGCCGCCATTATTGAAGAGGCAGCCAAAACAATCTTTCTTCCACCCTCCCCCACTCTCAGACTATCACTCCGCCAGTCTTCCCTGGTTTTCATTGACATTTCATCGTCCAACTATATACAGCAACTTATGGTAAATGAGAAGTCGCACTACAGCAAAACCAAACATCCATCTCCAAGCACATTCCTGAGCTAAACACCATGATCAAAGCAGCCATCTTCTATGTGTTCTTTGCCTTAACCACATCTTTATCCTCCTGTTTCAGTCCAAAGTCCCACTATCACTCTCTTCCTATCAAACTCCCTCGCTAACAATGCCTCCATAGCTCACAACCTTTATATGCTTACCCGCCGCCCACACGTTGCTGGCACAGAAGCCAACACCGAGACGGCAGAGTATGTCAAGTCTATACTAACCTCAAACAAGATAAAGTCCCACACAGTGTCCTATGATGTGGCCTTGACATACCCTGCCTCACGTTCCTTGACACTCACCCCTGAACCAGGTCATCCACCAATTGTGTTTGACCTCCGCCAGGAGATCTACAATGGCGATCTCTATGCAGATGTTGCAAACGAGGTTATGATGACGTTTCATGGGTTTGGCAAGACAGGGACCGTTGAGGCACCTGTGACTTATGCAAACTATGGACGTGTGGAGGACTTTGCAATGTTGAAAGAGATGGGGGTCAAAGTTTCTGGGACGATCGTATTGGCAAGATATGGCAAGATTTTCAGAGGGGATATTGTGGATAACGCATATGCAGCAGGTGCTATAGGAACTCTCATATATACAGATAGGAAAGACTATGGAGGTGGCGGAAAGGATGCGGGGTGGTTTCCAGATGCAAAATGGATGCCACCAACAGGAGTTCAGGTTGGTTCTGTTTACAGTGAGGCTGGTGACCCTACAACTCCTGGATGGCCGAGTACTGAAGGTTGCGAGAGGAGAGCTTATGAGGAAGCGGAGAAGTTGGGAGTCGTTCCATTCATACCTTCGCTTCCAATATCGGGAGCAGATGGCGAGACGATCATAAGTTCGCTCGGTGGACGGCTGGCTAACGACGATTGGCAAGGAAGCAAAGATGCTCCAACGTACAGGGTTGGACCAGGGCCAGGGGTTGTAAATCTCAGCTACAATGTAGGTCATATCATCCTCGGTTAATTGGATTTAACCGCACTATGCATGCTTTAACTTCAATAATATTAAGAGTATGATTTCATTCACTACTGACGATAGCCACTCTATGGGATCTCAGGCGACAAAGACTATAGCAACAATACATAATATTATTGGAGTGATCGAAGGATCGGACGAGCCTGATCGGTGAGAAAACTTTAGAATCACAAAACTATGTAAAGTAGTTAAGATTTGCATACATATATTTCATCATGCTGGTGATGTAAAATACAAACAAGGATCAGGAGTAGAGAACTCATTTTCTCACATATTCAAAGCATCAAATCCTCTTTTCTAGATTTCAAATGCAAAGATTAGCCATGAATGTGCAAAGTTTATTGAATTTTCATTAGATCCAATCAATAAATGAACATAAGAGTTTGATATTGAGAACTTATCTGCTTCGGGAATCTAGGTTTGTCCTCCTTGGCAATCATCGGGATGCATGGACATTCGGAGCAGCGGATCCCAATAGTGGAACTGCAGCATTGCTTGAGGTAGGCATGGTCCCAATAGATTGGCATATCAAGTACTTTGCTGAAACAATATTCAGAAATTGTTGGACATAACAGGAGTGAAATCTCTACATGAAATATAGGTTGCTCAAAGACTGGCAAGACTGCAGAAGAAAGGCTGGAAGCCAAGAAGAACGATTATCTTCTGCAGTTGGGATGCTGAGGAATACGGCCTGGTCTGTGTACTCTCTTCCTTCTCTTTGCCCCCTGTATGTGTGTGTGTTTTCAAACATGCAATATGTAGAGGGAACCATAATCCAACTATTGTGCAGATAGGATCGACTGAATGGGTGGAAGACAACAGAGAAGCGTTAAAATCAAAAGCTGTTGCCTACTTAAATGTGGATGTCGCAGTATGTAACGAAGGATTTACTGCTTCAGCAACTCCTCAACTTGATGAACTACTCAAATGGACAACTAAACAGGTACCAGAATTGTGTATAATAGTCCATAAAAAAAGAAGGGGGGGGGGGGGGTTTGTTTGCTCGAATCAAGCATCACCAACCAATAATGCCAATTCAATAAGAATAGTTCTTGTGATATGCTTTGTTAGACTATAAAAGAATCGGGAACACTTTATAATGACTGTTAGGTAAGGCTTTGGAGAAAAAAATCCAGAAAAGTTTTCATCTTTCTGAGTCTTACCATCTTTGGTCACAAAAAACTAATCAAACTCACAACTGATGTCTCAAGGTTAAAGACCCAAAGAACACGTCACAGACTGTCTACGATTCATGGGCAAGCTCCAGCGGCTCTCCTCAGGTGAGGGGAATTCAAATCCTTGTTCAATTCATGTTAAACTCTAAACAACTTACACAAAAGAATGCAGTTTCTACCACTTCACCAAGAATATATATTTAGAGAGAATGAGAGAGTACTAACCTGACTTTCAAATGGTGCAGGTTGAAAGATTAGGGGGTGGGGGATCAGACTATTCAGCTTTTGTACAACATATTGGTGTGCCATCAGTTGACATGTCTTACAGAGTAGGAGGTAAGGGTCATACAGCATTTTCTGCTCCACATCACCCCATACCTAGAGGGTTAAAATAACCTGCTTCTAAGGAAAAAAGGACAATAATGCAATATCCACCTATTTCTTACAATATCAAGTAACAGACCGACCTTCCTCGAAAAACTTGTACAGGGCCATTGGTGAACTCTACTGATCTTATGGCAAGATGGCCTTTTGCTTCCAGAGCTTAAATGAACTTCTACAATTTCTTTCATTCATTTGCACAACTTCAATTCAGTAAACAAAGTTCCCTTCGTGATCTCTCAACCTTTTTCAAAATAACTTAAAATACTCAACTTCTCAACTGTTTGATATTAACCAGCAGTATATTTACCAATATGTTATCTGCCTGCAATATCTACAGGATACCCTGTGTACCACTCAATGTATGATGACTTTACCTGGATGGAGAAGTTTGGCGATCCTATGTTTCACAGACATGTTGCAGGTATGAAACTTGAGTAACAAGACTCTGAAAACAAATCTTCATCTAGGCTGAGATGGTATGGATTGTTTGCCTCATGGAATAATTCTCAAGGGGGGGAAAATGACGATGACAAGAAATTCATTCTATAAGTTGCCCCAAAGGAATCAGGGAATAAACAACAACTATAGGCTAATTTAATACACAACATCAAGCTGAATCATGTATCTTAACCTAAAGCTTCAATTCACACCTCGCAGTTGCAAGCATCTGGGGCTTTCTAGCTCTTCAGTTAGCTGACAGTGAAATTTTGCCTTTCAACTATCTTTCCTACGCCGAAGAGCTTCAGGTATAGCTCTCATGAAATTGTGCAGACCCGTTACGCATCCTGAGAAATTATCTAGCAATGAAAAATTAATCATGTATTGTTTTATAAATGATTTACATGTATTTCGCTTATGTTACCAGAAAAGCGCAAAGGAGTTGGAAGATGATATATCAAATAAGACAACACTTGCTCCCTTGCACAAGTCTGTTGATGCATTAACAAAATCCGCCACAAAAATCAACAATGAGATAAATGTATGATCTTCATCCAAAAGTATATATATGATAAAACTTTCCACAAATAAAGATTCGCAAAACTATAGTTGAAGAAGGATCTACTCACACAAAACTCTTGTCGTCTATAGGCGATTGAAGAAGACATACAGCAGGCTTCACCTCGGAAGAAAGACTTTGCAAGAGCAAGAGCAATCAATGACAGACTAATGATGGCTGAGCGAGCATTTACTGATCCAGAGGGGCTATCTGGAAGACCATGGTATAAGCATTTGGTATGTGTTTCTGCTTTGCCGCCAAGTGCATATCCAAATGACCAAATTTATATCAACCCTCTTTAAGAATCATTCTACCACATCACAATACAGAGAAAAAGGTCCAGTCTAGTGGTAAAGGTAGATGGAAAGATAAATCGATCCTAGTTTAAAACCTTGAGACCAACATTCATCCTAGTTTCAAACCTTGGCATACATAAATGCAATGCAATAATGAATCTCAAATAAAAAATTAAGACTTCATAACCCCAGTTGATTGTAACAGGAGCTTCTGTCCTGACAAGCTGACATACATATTTGTATTTGGCAGGTATATGCACCTTCCAAGCATAATGATTACGGATCGAAGTCCTTCCCTGGGATAGATGATGCAATAGAAAATGCAAAGACTCTGGATACAGCAGAAGCATGGCAGTCAGTGCAACATGAAATCTGGAGAGTTTCAAGAGCTATTAAACAAGTGGCCCAGGTCCTCAGTGGTGAATTGACATAAATTGCATGGTAGCAATACATTCAAGAGAATATGAGATGTGGTGCTACAGAAACAATGACAGGGCATTTGGTGCTGAGTTTCATCAAATCAGATAGCTGCAATTTCACCTTAATACAAGTACCCTGCACCCTAGCAAGATGGTGTGGTTACTGATTATATTCCATCTACAGGATTCTGAGAAATTTCCTTCTCTGTATAGACAATCTTTCAAGTCCTTTCAGAGACGAAATGCCACAGATGACCTCATGCATGTTAAATAATTATTCAGATAAACTACTGTACTGGCAGCTTCCCATTTCTCACGAGTCCTTACCATCTCGCAACAATTCTAGTCTAACTCAATGACCAGTATGTCCACTTCCACTTAACTTAACCATTTCATGCTGATCCCAATCTAGTACACCCTCGACGATTCATTTTCACATCTGCAATCATTAGCAAATTCTGTAATCTATTGTTTACATACTCAACAACCTTGGGTATGATATGCAAAAAGCCAAGACTAGTAACAATCATCAAATTAAACGAAAACACCAATCGTGAAGCCCAACAGACAAATGGGTAACTATTCACAGTCAACTGGTCAGGTTTCACAAAGCAAACAGATTATGATACTATTAGATAAGAGAATACAGGATTTTATGCTAAATCACTACTACCTCCACCCAAGAAATCAAACAAGCCGCAAGACAGCAAGATTAATCATAGGAAAGGGAAGTATGAAATCGAGGTACGCACCAAGTATAGCATGCTATTGAACCACTAGAACAATGTATACCTTGAATGAAGATATTCGAATAAATGCTCCTCTGGTCCCAACATTTCCAACTTCTGCAACCAGAGGGCCAAAATGTGACCTATACTAACCCATCCCACCCAGCAGTTCCCATTTCCCCGACATCGCTGAATAAAAATTATGAAACAGAGAGTGATATCGGGTAGCTCCCTATTCCCATATTAAAAAGGCAGTTGTTTTTTCAAGACAATTCAGAAGAAAAGAATGAATTATCTTTGATATTAAAGCCTACAATGGCCACAAGCCTACGCCAGAATGCAGATAACCAATAGGTTAAGTTGTTATATTTATGCTAGTTCCAATTTTGTACAAATAAAGAAGGCATATCGTTTCAAATTATACCAGAACTCAGAGACAATTTCTTCCCGGAGAGGGCCAATTCATAGGACACTACTTTACGTACATTTTTGAACTATCACCAACTCTACATGTACAACATGTCACTTGCAAGCCTTATTTATTTACTTCCAAACCTTTATAGCTCCATCTCTACTACTTGAGATCAGAAGTCTTTGGTTCAACTTTACTGAGGCCAAAGCCAAGACAGAATCCCTATGGCAGCCGGCAGAGTCTGTAGCAGCTGCTGCTAGAACAGCCTTTGTAGTCAACTTTACTGTTGAAGGTCGTCTTCTAATTTCCTGCTTAAAAGAAAAGAAGATAATGCTTAACAATAAGAGTACCCCACCAAAGCTCGCAAATAGTCAAGCAATCAAGTAACATTTATGTAGGAACAAGAGCTCTGCCCTATTTAGAAGACTTGAAAGGAAGACAAATGCATGCATAACAGATAGATAACCAAATATACTGTGAACAAAAAAAAATCTCCAGGATAGCTAAAACTGATAGTAGATGAAGCATCAAAGAAAGTAGATGAGCTGATGAGGATGCTAACTTTAAGCAGGTTTTAGCAAGAAAGCCAATTTGGTGACATGGAACAATTGCATCACCTATATGGAGCTCCAGCACTTTCCCAGGTGTAAAGGGGGTTTACAAAATCCAACTAACTAAGCACATGATACAAGAAAGGATTATAGCCAAACCAACGAGCTTGAATATAGATAACAAACCTGGACAACTTGCACCCCGGAACATGACCTCTCCTCGAATAAATTCTCATTACCAGTTCCATTTAAATTTGGTCCAGATATGCAATAACTTTTCTCTGGGCTGTCAAGTGGTGGACCAAATTGAGTAAATACAACTACAGGTATGACAGAACATGAATGGAAACAGGAACAAACAAGCTAGACATAATCCAATACTTACCTGCAATGATCCCATCTACGTATCCTCAAATCAGTACTCCCAGTCAGCAAATCACCACCGGGTAAAGGAAGCATCGCCCGGATGACGGGAAGACAAGGAGGAGGTTCATTCAGCTCGTCAACCCGATATTTCGGATTGATATTACCCCTGTCTGATTTAGAAATTGCCTTATTCGAAGGCCTGGTTAATGCTGACGGTACATCAGAAGTTTCAGGATCACCCTCGTAATTTGCCATTCTAAATACCTGAAACACAGTTAAATCATGTAAAAAATAGAACTCAGATTAATAACACACCAAAAACATTGCATTAGAAAATAGCGAATCCAGATATTTTTTTACATGTAAGCATCATCTGATTTACAACCTACCTAGTTTACAATTGTTTCTCATTGTAGAGGTCGCATCTCATTAGACAAGAGAGAGAAGTGCAATAACTATAATTTCATTACATTAGGAACTTCAGTAATAATAGATGGGAATAAACTGCTAAAAGTGAAAGAGGAAAAGGCAGCAGGGATAAATAAAGGAATTACATCCATGAGATCTTAATTTCACCAAATTGGAAACCACATTAACACCTTTTATATTCCATGTTTGCAGTTATGGTATCTCCATAAACCTTGGACAACTTTATAACATGAATTTAAGATTTTGAAGTACCTGGTGACAACTCCCATTCTCAGCATTCCAAAGAGAAACTTCATTGCAACCAGCGGCAACATAAATGAGTGGCCGTGCTGTAGAAGACACAGACACGTTTGGAGAAGGTATACAAAGGCTCATCTTCTCCACAGGGCAAGCCAGAGAATTATGCCATGAGTTAACAGGAACAAGGAACCTTAGATCCCAAAGAGTAAGGACACCCCTAGAAGATCCTGACACAAACCAATTCCCACAAGGCCCAGTTACCAGAGAAGACATGTAGCCTTCCTCTGGACCTGCTTTTAGAGACCAGGCATTTGAATTCCCTCTAACATCCCACAGGTGGATGCCATAATTCCTAGTGCTGTACATAACCATCTGACCATCACTGTTATCAGTGTAGTTTAAAAGGTTAAGAATGGCACCTTCCTGGGTGTCCTTCTTTTTTATATCAGCAATACCTGAGTACTTCTCAACAACATTGCCCAGACCTCTGGATATGTGATCCACAGAAAATACATGAAGCATTCCATCACATGCTCCAACAACGACTTTAGCAGAGTTCCGAAGCATTACAGCAGAAAGAGCTCGGCTTCCCTCAAGGTGGTAACTTAACCTTGATCTGAATGAAATGTCCTTTTCCAACTTTCTTGTATCCCAAACCTTGACAGTTGAATCATCAGATGCACTCACAAAAAGACTATGATCATTTGAAATTGCAAGGTCGTTGACAGCAGAATGGTGTTCCTGCAGGTGTGCTACCAACACACCACGAGGTTTCCAACCAGAATCAGGGATTGATGTAGGCCGCACAAAAGATGGCAATCCTGTGATATCACTTTGAGCAGCAGTATCATCCGCTACAAAAGAACTCCCTTTAGTTGAGCTAGATAATCCAGCATCCCGAAATTTACCACTGACATAAGCTGTCTGATCACTTTCCCTACTTTCAGGTTCATGCACTACTCTATAGAACTGTTTGGAACCCCCACTAATACTGAATGAACTGGATAACAGCTTTGATGCAGGAACAGAACTGGCCAAGTTCAAAGATTTGTTCAACGGATCCATCCACGGCATGTATGATGAATTGATTTCCAGGGCACTAACTCGCAACGATGAATCAGAGGCTGCAGAAGGAAGTTTGACCTTTCTCCTGTCCATGCCGAAGCAATACACAGGAAAATCCTGAGATGACTTATCATGAATCAGACTATTGACACCACCAACATGTGCTGACAAATAGCTGGAGGATTGCAGCTTCTCTGAGCATACATGATGGGGAATGTCAAGCACAGAAGAACTGTTGGTAATGCCCGAATGTCTCAGCCTCACCTCACCAATTTCTGCCTCATACAGGCCGTTCAGAGCGATTTTCTTATCATCTTGATTCAGGTTTTTGTGCGCCCAACTTCCTGTTGAATTTATCTCTCCATCCTGCTGCTTAAACAACTCGGAAACCTCGCCTTGTTTTGATTGAGCAGATGAGTTATACCAAATTTTCCTTTGTCTTTCCAACATGTCTGAACTCCTGGCATTTTCCAAGATTTGATAAAATAGCTGTCGAGATACAGGAGGCTTCAAACATGAAAAGAGAGACTTCCCAGAAGCTAGAGAAGCTGGTTGCCTACGCAAGAAAGGACGAATAACTGGGGCAAGGAAAACATATGTATCTACAGCACCTAAATTCTCACTGCTGGCTGCAATGAAGTTTACAACAGACCTTCTGACCCATTGGCTGGGATAACATAGCAATGGGAAGGCACGCTCGATCATTCCAAGCAGTATACGCTTCCGCAAGAAACCGCGTTTGCACAGAGTAGTTAGGCAATCTAATGCATTCACAATGACAGCCTCTGTTTGATCTGTTAAAGCTTGTTCAATGTAAGGTAAGAGATATTCTTCAACACTTCGTTGGCCTACAAAGAAGCACACATATACAATCTTGCCATAGAAAAGTGCCCTAAGTTGCTCGTCCCGATCATTGAGAAAGGCAGGAAGGATTGGCAACAGAAAGTCATTACTCTGTCTTTGGCCAAAAAAGCAGCATAAGTAGCCAATGTCCTGAAGTAGTGCTCTCCTGATATTAGGAGTTTGCTTTGGTCCCATTACAAGTTCTTGAACAACCTCAGCAATAGATCTCCGCAGTTGGGCAAGCTGTGCATCGTTATTTGCAGTCTGAAGCCTCCCAACAACCTCACTATTTGATGCCAAGGACTTTTGAGGCAGGCTCATCTTATCAAGAGCACCAGCTTCACTCAGGCTTATTGAATGAATCAGGAACCCATAAGCAGTGAGTGCAAGCTTTGCTATATTGCTAGCATAACATATTCTAACACTTTCTTCAGGATCATCAGGAAGCATGGAAAGCATTGGAAGAATATATTCAGGAAAGATCTTGGCATCACTAGGAGGAAATTCTCGAACTAAAGGTAGGATGTCACACAAAGTCTCTAAAGCAGCACAACGGACAATTGCTGCTGGATCTGAAAGCATAGCAATTACATATGGTAGAACACGCTGTAATCGATCTTCATCGTCAATATACAATGATGATGACTTCAGTAGAAGTATGGCACCCCTTCTCAAATGGGGTAACTTGACATTGCGTATGCAGGAACAAAGAAGGGAAGCTATCAGAACCATGCCTTCACATCTCATACTCTCTTCAGGTAGAGGTGAAAAGGGCATCCCAAAGGTATCTGATTGACTGTCATACCCGGACATCAACGAACTCATATCATCAACTGTGATTTTCTTAAGAAACGGGTGGTCATTTTTCCTAAATGCATTCGAAATAGCCTGTAGAAGCTCACCGAGGGATTGTAGACC